ACCAAATAATATCGAAAAATAAAGGACCATGACATGCAATGTACAAATCCTTTGGACGTACACTTTTAAAAAAGGACTGCTTTACTTGTTTGTGAAATACTCAACACCAGCAGTAGAGGCCCGCAGGAAGCTTCGTCTTCATGCCTCCTCAAAAAATATTTGCAGTGGAACGACTACGTAGACATGCGAAATGATCCATAGAGGACCGCATCCAGACTGGTAGGAGTTGAGGTAAGGGGGAGTATCTGAGCCGGTTGAAAGGGTAAACGGTACCAATAGTAGCCAGTGCCAAATTACAGGATCGCAACTGACAACCCCTAACACATACACATCAGTCCTTAACTCATTCTCACCAATCAACCATTCTCCCTCCACAAGACTAAGTATCGGTAATAAGGCATAAGTATTGAGTCCAGTTAAATTGTGAGGAGCCGGGGCGCACACAATCAAATACATATATGTACAGAACCCCAAACCGAAGACAAAAATCGCATGTTTCATGGGGTAATGGACTCAAGTCGAACTGAGGTGGCGGAACTTCTCTCCACTCCCACCGCCTCGTCCATCGTTTCCTGAATACCACATGCATTCCCACCATCCCAGTCATCGATCTTCCATGCAAATAAGAAGATACTTGACCGCGACACCACTGATCCCTCTAGGTTGCCCTGGTGGATCTGCAGTTTCCTCCTCTATGGAACCGAATTCGGGGGAAGGGCATATGTACTGGCCATCACGGGTATCCACACCTAGTCGGAGGACCATCGGCCTAAAAGCAACAAAAGGAAAACTCATATCAATGTAACAGTCTCAAGACCACCTTATTGACAGATTAATTGGGCTCTGAAACGACTAACAACTAGAAATCTGCTGACGCATCTACCCGCCCATCACTAATCGGAGTACCAAGTGTCCCATATGCACGGTACATTCCACCAACATGGATAATAATAGGGCAACAAAATTAAGCAAGTTTTACCATGCATTACCTGGAGAGAGACTTAGGATGAGAAGTAAAATAAGAATGCTGCCTAAAACACGTACATTGAATCCACTAGTGCACGAAATGCAAGACAAAATCATTAATTACGTTCCTTTCTTACCTAGGCAGATCAGCCGGAATTCACGAAGGGCTGGTTATTTCAGCACAAACCGCTTCGGTTACCAACTACGACGTACCAAGTAATCAAAAAGAGCAAGATTCACGCTTAGTGCTGTTCGGCAATGCCTCCATTAACATCAGATAATGCTCCTGGGAAAATGAAATCCACTTCTGCAGACTTAAGGATCCGCATCATCTTTAGCACCATGCAAAACAAAATCTCTAGTGGATTTCTCCATTTTTTCAGCAAATTAAGATCTGTTAATCAAAATCCTTTGTTAATAAAAGAATAGAGGACGCAGAACACCTCGAGGGGAGCTTATACCAACCGCCTGGAGATTCGTTCAGCATAACAAATTTATGGCGACGATATATGTCTTTAAACTCTGCCTAAAAGCACACAGTAATCCTTTAAAAAAATTATAAGCAGTGGGTATATTTTTGTTGCATTAAATGCACACATCTACATGCATACAACTGCAACGTAAAATATAAAATGTTAAAAACCCATGGCCAAAATTTTGAACATTCACATGACTAAGTCCGCCAAAAAATGCAAATGATCATCTTAAACTTCACGCAGTTATGGCTACTAAACCAGGCATTTCCACATATTTGAGAGGTGTTTTATGAAATTTTTGTGCCTCTGAACTACATTATTGTAATACTTATGTTGTTTTAATGTGCCTTTCAGGGGGGAGGCAAGCAGAAAATTCGAACCTGGTAACTGGATCGCCCTCTCCCTTACCTTGTGACTGCGGCTCCCCTCCTTCTTGAATATTGTATTTTCCCTATACATCTTGTCGTCTTTAATAAAGATGTCCAAAGTAAACCAACCGGGCTTGTCTAGGAACGCTAGGAATCGGGAAGCGGAGACCGAGGAGTCTCGCTCCACATTATATCATTCCTGAATTGTCTCCTGGGCTCTTTCGTAGCATTTGTTTTTACCTGTATCATGGAAAATACTACACCTGGTATTTTTTTGTTCTAATCTTGAACCTCTTTGAAAGGATTCATTGAAAAGCCTCTTTTGTTGCCACGGGTTCTTCCGGAGCAGACGAAATACTCTCGAAAGGTGAAACTATCACTTTGCAGGCGTATATATGCCAACAAAAGACACCGACAGCTTATTAAAAGCGCTACTCTTAACCTCTTCTTGTAGCTCAAAGAGCATTTGAAACCACTGGAATTCAGCTGATGCAATCAAAA